AGGGGGGGGGGGGGGGCTGTATTGGGCATTTCAAGTGAAGCCCCTTTGTCACTAACTATTACACAATGAGCCTTCACTTGAAAACTTGAGTTTTCATTATACCGTAAACCTCAGACTATAAGCCCTGGGCTTATATACTTTCAGAAGCGATTTTTGATGGGCTTATAGAAGGGGGGGGGGAGGCTTATATATGGGAGGGGGCTTATTATATTACTAATGTATACCTTTCACATAGCTGAGTAACTTATTATGATCTGTTCTAAAATGTACTGCCCTGGTGCATTAATTATTTTACTCTGTCTCAAAAGAATGTACAGTAAGGTGCATTTGGGTATACACCAGATTGATGGGTTAACCCACTAATAGCTGGATATGACTCAACTCAACCATGACTTTATATTTTGCAGGTTACAATCAATGGGTTTAAAGCATTGATATGCCTGAATTCATATCCCTCCATGGAAGTCAACCCTATATCATTCCTAAGAGAATAAGTCAGGATGTAGTCGAGTCATTCTTTTCGATGCAGAGGCAGGCATGCGATGGTACAAACAACATGACCGCGTACATTTATGGCTACAATGTCAATAGTATGATAAGTTGTTCTGAAGCTAAGCGCCTGTTAAAGAAACAGACTAATACTTATGATGTTGAATTTCGTGAAGGGCAGAAGTGTAAAGATAGTATTCCTAAGAGGAGCAATGTCCACGGCATTTTTTTCAGTAACATGTGGCCAGTGCATCTTTAATAGCCAGATTTCTATTTTTCAATCTATAAAATAAAATTAGAAAAACTTGGGATTAGTCACATTTAACCAGAGCACTAATATACACGCTCTGCTTCCCTTGTCTGATGTAAATACTAAAGTAGGGTGCATGGGGGCACATAAAGGGTTAAAGTCAAAATACAAATGCCATCCACTATTTTGCAGTATATATTGTACAAATTTAAAAGGATGAAAATTTTTTAGTCATTAATTAGGTTGTGAAAATGCAAATTTTGTGTAGTGATAGCTGCACTCCATACAACTTTTGAATTCTTGTTTTTTGTATTTTGACCATGATACCACAGAATAGATAATTACACCAGAAGCCTCACTAGAGTTGGAACCTTTGATGTTTTCATCCGGAAAAAATGAACTTGCTCCTTGCGTTCCTGGCTAGTACAACCAGACACTTTTATCAGGTTTTGGTAGGTACAAAGTGCCGGTCATACTAGCCAGGATAACATGAATTGATGAGGCATTGCTTGTAAAAACGTGAACACATTTTTACTTGAGTGAGGCTTCTGGTATAACCACCTATTCTGTGATAATACTATAATGATACAAGCACCCTGATTCAAAATTTCTCACTTTACTTCACATTGCTATTATCACAAATAGAATAATTTGTGTGGTGTTAGACAGAGTAAAACATAATTTGTTGCTTCGACTTAATAAAAAATGTGACAACCCTTTGCAGGACAACAACAGATACTTGCATATCCGAGGTTTTGGTAAGTTCATTCCATCTGGCTCTCAATTCGACATATGATCAAGACAAAACTTCAAAATATTTCCTTTTTCCTTAAGAATGTTTGCTGAACTTAACAGACTTTCAACTAATGTATGCAAGAAAATAAAAAAAGGAACAACATGCTCATGAATACAAAATCTGTAACTTCCGTTTGGCTGCATCTGGTCTTCTCTTAATAGATACAATACTGTCAGTGCATCTGCTTTGTTTCCAAAACTAATTTGATCGAAAAATAGCTTTTCCCATGATTTTTAACTGCTATGTAGTGGACACCAATTGACCCTTTTTCCACAAATTTCTCTCCAGTGCCATGGCTCTCTTACAAATTGGCAAGGCCTCAGTCTCACTAAAACAATCCTCAATTAGCTTTAAAACGCATTGCATAAATTCCTTTGAGACCTTACATTTGATAGAAGTATTAGACAAATCTTGCAATGCTAATGATATAATGATTTTCTCATCGAGCAAAGACTTTAAAACATTAATATTAATACCTGACAATATAGTGGAAAAATCTACTATACCATTGTATGGCATTGGATTTTTTTGCTCATCTTCGTCGAAATTTTGTAAAGCTTCCCGCTCAAACTTGTCCGCCATTGTTGTTAAACAACATCACTATAGCAACAACATACTTGTCACCAGACCTTTGCATCACACATCGATCAGCCCAAGTTTACATGCATGGTATTGGTGGTCGCACAGTCAGTAAAGTGCAGAATCATGATCTTGGGGGTAGTAGCACGCCTGTCCCCAGATATCGTCATCCTGGAGATTGGTACAAATTATTTGTCCCTTTTGCCACCAGAGGTGGTGGGTTCTTAAATTGAGGAATTGGTTTCTCTGTTACAACAAACATATTGCATCAAAGTTGTGTGTGTTTGCCTAGTGACTCCACGCAATCGTAATCCAGTTTTCAACGCAAAACGAGTTATTGTCAATAAATATTTAACCGTTGTGTTAGAACATATGCCGAACGTTTTTACTTGGCTACATCAGGGTTTTGCACAGCCATCGGTAACACTGTTTCTTTGAGATGGGGTTCATTTTAACAAAATCGGTCAATACAATACGCCTTGTGTAGAAGTTATAGGGGCGGCATTTTTAAATCTCTCAGTTTTGGCAATCATACATAATGTATATAATTATGAAGAATTTTTCTTCTGAATTTCTCCTTCTTGGCAGTTACAATAGGTTACATTATACTAGGGCTATACTTTATAATATTAGACAATGTTACAGGATTGTTTTCGGTTTCTTAGGTTATTACCACTGCTGTGGTTTTGTGTATTTTTGCATTCAACCTGTAACTTTTTTGTTGGTGACAATGTACGAGTGGTGCGGCGATCAGTTACGATCTGCCATGCTCATACTGCAGACGTTATTATTAGGAATACTTCATTCTCGTAGATTTATGAGTTTATATATCTGTTTGTAACCTGTTTTCGAGTGTGTGCAATTTTATCCTTTTAATTTCAAAACGTTATGTGCAGTACATCACTCTTTGCAATATTGATAACTTTTGCTGAGGATAATCTGCCTTTTCAAGTTTTGTTTTCTAAAATGCCGCCTATCCGCTGACCAAAATGGGCTGCTTCAACTCCCAGAGCTTCTCAGGCAAACCAACAGTGTCAAGCAGCTGCATCTCGCTGCGGTTTACGTTCACAGGCTACTCGCAGTGAGGCTAGTGGGCCAGTCTGTTCTTGGACATACAACCTCCGCAGCGCCTGTCGTGTCAACGCCTGCACCAACAGCGGTCTCATCGTCGCTGCCGAATGATTTGGTCACAACACTGGTTTCATCGGTAACGGCCGCAGTTACACAACAGCTTTCGGCGCTCCTACCATCCCCTTCGACTGCTATTCCAGTGATTTCTCTGCCATCATCCTCGACATATGCTACTGTAGAGTTTTCATCTTCTGCACATGCAACAGCTTTGGTTCAGGGCGCACTTGGCGAAGCCCACTCCAATATATCTGGTCAGCCACATCATTTCACTGTACTGGAACAATTGCTCCCCAATCAGCCTTTTAATTCCGCTAGCTTGCCTCTCTATTTGTGGTTTCCAGACAAAATTAAGAAAAAAAATCTGGAGGGAAGAGTTTGTTGATTTTGGTGTTTTGCTGAGCAATCCTGACCCAACGCACGTTACGAGATCAACATGCGGCCTGTGGATGCTGGTCGGCCTGCCTCGCTTGTTTTAGAACCCACGACTGCAACATCCAGAAAACAAATAAAAAATATCAATGACTGGCTTCGCGCTTTTCACATATTTGTATCTATTTACACCCAACGATACACACATGAGACCCCAACGCTCATGAAGTATTGTCAACTAGTCCAAGATTTCGCCATGCACGACCATAATTGGTTTTATTATGATGAAAACTTTCGTTTCTTGTGCCAAATGCAGACCTCACAGGTTCCATGGGCGACCATTCATTGGGAATTGTGGTTACATTCGCAAAATTCTATACTGCATAGATTAAGTAATGTGCCAACCGTACAAAACGCTTCGCGAGAACCTCCGATGTTGTCTGTACCCAGGGGTTTTTGCTATAAATTTCACCGAGGAGCCTATTGCTCGGGATGCGATTTCAAGCATGTTTGTTTTAAGTGTAACAGAGCACATCGTTCCGGAAACTGTACTTTTCGCGGTTCAGCCAAAGGATCTCCCAATGAACGATCGCCTAAGCCTGTCTTGCCCTCTGTTGCCAACACCGGTAAAAGTGTCTAATCTAAAACTTTTATTGGATGGCTATGTGCCGCATCTTGTTGATAATTTAATGTTTGGTTTTTCATTTGGTTTCCATATTAATTTTCAAGGGACTGAACCAATCATTTGAAGCCCGCAATTTGCGATCAGCTTTGGACAAAGCAGTTGATTCAAAATTAAACAAGGAATTAGAGGCAGGTCGGCGGCTTGCAGGTCCTTTTATTTCGCCGCCACTTAAATATTTTCGTGTCTCACCATTAGGCCTGGTTCCCAAAAAAGAACCAGACGATTTTCGCATGATTCATCATTCGTCCTTTCCCAACGGTACATCAGTCAATGATGGTATACCGGACATCATCGGTTCGGTATGCCACTGTTGACAGTGCCATTCACCTTATAAAACAAGCTGGTCCGGGCTGTTTTTCTGGCCAAAACTGACATAAAAAAGTGTTTCGAATTATACCTTTTGAAACCTTCAGTACGGCAGTTGAATGGATTGCTCGGGAAAAGCTGCTTATAGACAAACTACTTCATTTTCTTGATGATTTTCTGATTATCTCACATACTTATTTTGTATGTAAAGCACATTTAGATTTATTTATTATTCTCTGCGATTTTTTGGGCATTCCCACTGCACCAAACAAAACAATTTGGCCCATCAGCCACTCTCACATTCACTGGTATTGAACTGGATTCATTTAAATGGGAAGCTCGCTTGCCCAAGGACAAAAAGTGCATCCAATGCATTGCCAGCTTTTTGACTCGTAAGAAGGTTACTCTAAAAGAAACTCAGTCTTTAATCGGCTTACTTAATTTTGCATGCTCAGTTGTTACTCCAGGCCATGCTTTTTTAAGACGATTTAACGTGCGGAATTTCACAGCCCCATTTTTTCATCTGGCTAAATCGTAATGTAAAAGGCGATCTTCTATGCCTCCCAGATTTGGGCACCGCAGACGATTGAACTTATTGACATTTTAGAAAGAACTCAGAGGCGGGCAACAAAATATATTTTGAACTTGCCATTCTCGACAGATGTGGACTATAAAACAAGATTACAATCCTTGCATCTTCTTCCTGTATCTTACTGGCATAAATACCTACACCTGATCCTCTTCTTCAAAATCACACACGGTTTGGTAGAAATGTCTGCTCTTCCTGACATTCATATTATGCAAAGAACGACACACGATCATCATCAAGTAATAACGCTAAATATGTCGTCCGCAAATGTAAAACCAATACCTACCAGCAGTCGTTTTTTGTCAGAACGTGTCGAATATGGAACTCTCTCGTAGATGAACTAAATTATAACACGAACTGCTTCAATTCCTTTAGATCAGCCTTACTGGAATACTATCACAAATCTTTAGAAGTTAAGAGGAGATTTTTTACAAAATCGCGTATTGGGCGCTCAAAACCAATCAGATGCTAGAATGAGAAATTGATCGAATGAATCG